TGGGCTTCTTGTTCGTCACACGCTCCACGATGTGATGGACCGTGGCAAGGTCAGGAAACTCCAACTCCACGCTGTGCCCCTTTGGGTGGGTGTTGGCCAGGATGCGATGGCAACGCGCGCATGCATCCTCGTCCTCCTGATCCCCCCCGCGCCTTGCAAGGGCGCGCGCACGTTCATCGCTGCCCTGTCCGGGCCCGGGGCCATCGTCGGCGTCCCGGCGTAGACTTGGCGCAGGCATACTCTTGGGTCGAGGATTCATGACGATCCTCCCTGGAGCATCGGCTCGGACCTCTACCGAATGCCTCTGGGCAGGCACCGACTGGGGAGCGCGGCGCCATGGGGCGCGGCCGCGACGCTCTTCGGCACTGCCTGCCATGCCAACCCAGTGGATGACCGGCCCATGCTCCTGCCTTGGAACCGGCGGCTTCGCACAGCTCCGCTGGTTGGGCGACGCTGGCTGGCCACTCTTAGGCCCGGTCTCGTTGTACGGCTCACGCTCGCCACTCTTCACCTTGGGGCGCTCCGGGTCGCCGCGCCAGTGGCCGGGCTGATCACAGTCAGCACACCGGCTGTTAGCCTTGCGCTGGTCCGTCGGCTTGCGACCAGCCTGGAAGGAGCCGCTGGCGTTGATCTTCTTGGGGCCCCGCTGCCGAGGGGCAACGAACCCGCGCTTCTGACGCTGTACTGCCGTCTTCTGCTTGGCCCTCCAGCCGGCCAAGAACGCCCCCTGAAGATCCCCCGGTGCCTCGTACTCCTCGTCGTCAGGCCCATCGTTGTCCGACGCCAGCTCCTCGTCGACCTCAGCGCCGTCCTAGAAGAGGGTGCCCTCGGCCCCTCCCGGGTCTCCGTCGTCCTGGTCGTCTGCTTCCTCCTCGTCGTGCTGCGCCTCCTCCAGGTCGCCGTCGTGTTCATCGTAGTCTTCACCGTTCTCCACCTCGTGCACATGCTGGCCAGAGCGTCCTCGAAGCACGCACGGCCTACGAGCCAAGGGAGGGCGCGGGTAGCGACCGCCCGAGCTCCCAGAGGAGCGCCCGTGCTCACGCTGCGCCGCCACAAACGGCGAGCGGCGAGGGAGCACCGAGCGCTTCTCGGTGTCGTGCACCTTCGAGTAGGCTGCCTTCAGCACGACCTCCATCCGCTTCGAGTCGTAGATGCCGCCACAATTGAAGAACACCTGCGCTCGCTCTCTTTGCGACAGCCCAGAACCACGGAGCATCTTGCTCGCCAGCGCGCGATCACTGATCGCTGAAGTGGGATCTTCGAGCTGCAACTCCATGCGTTTCTTGCGCAAGTACGTTGTCCAATCCATGATGGGCTGGCCTGCCCGACGGTGAGCACGCCCCCACTCCTGATGCACCTGATCCAGGCGCTCGTGGTCCATCTACTCGAAGGCGTCATCGTAGATAGCGAAGATGGTTTCGAGCGTGTCCTCAAGCCGGAGGTCCGACGCGTCCAGTACCTCGATGAGCTCCTTGGCCCGACCTGTCACCTGACTGTAGATGATCAGGCCCAGCTCCACGTCGGAGAGCTGGTTGAGGTTGCGGATGACCTCCACAGCCTTGCGCCACTCTCGGTACTTCTTGGTGATAGCACCGACGGCACCGTCGAAGTCCAGGAGCTTCACCTGTGACAGCAGTAGGCGTGCACGCCTGGGACCGCTGTCGCCACGATCCCGCTGCATGGCCAGGATCTCCCTCTGGGTCTCGGCCATCACGCGCAGGACAGCGTGCAGGTCCGGAGAACCTGCGCCGGCGGAGGACATCGCCTCCGCGTCCGAGCCGCCGTCCTGGCTGCCGGCCATGACGAGCGCGCGGGTGGTCGCAGCCACCCAAGCAAAGCACGCAGTGCGTCCGCTGGAGCTTACGAGCTCCGCTACCAATGTCAGTGCAGTTCTTTTAGCTCGGACCGCGCGGCAGTCCAACTGCGGGTGCAGTCCCAGGGCCCTAGGACTAGGGCCAAAACGGCGGCGGGCAGCGTGCACGCCACAAACATGAAAAGCATGTGCATCATGCGTACAAGGCGGCACGGGCGGCAGAGGGGCAGGGGAGTGCACTCTTCACAACGAAACGATTGAGGGGTGTGCCAAAATGGGGCGGCGGCGCCATGCGAGCTGCGCCACTTGGACCTCAGGTGGAGCTCCCTATGGGGTCACGAAGCGTGTGAGGGGTGTGTCGTCATGGGGCGGTGGCGCCATGCGAGCTGCGCAGCTGTCACCTTAGGTGGAACTCCCTATGGGACCACGAAACGTGTGAGGGATGTGCCACGGAGCGTTGGCGCCATGCGAGCTGCGCCGCTTGGACCTTAGGTGGGGCTCCCTATCGGGCCACGAAACGTGTGAGGTCTGTGTGTGTGTGCCAAAGTGGGGCGGTGGCGCCATGCGAGCTGCGCTCCCTATAGGGCCACGAAGCGTGCGAGGGGTGTGCCAAAAAGGGGCGGTGGCGCCATGCGAGCTGCGCCAATGGGACATTTGGTGGAGCTCCCTATGAAGCCACGCTGCGCCACTTGGACCTCAGGTGGAGCTCCATATGGGGCCACGACACGTGTGAGGGGTGTGTCACGATGGGGCGGTGGCGCCATGCGAAGTGCGCCACTTGGACCTTAGGTGGAACTCCCTATGGGGCCACGAGACATGTGAGGGGTGCGCCAAAATGGGGCGGTGGCGCCATGCGAGCTGCGCCACTTGGACCTAGGTGGAGCTGTCAACGAGGCCACGAAACGTGTGAGGGGTGTGCCAAAATGGGGCGGTGGCGCCATGCGAGCTGCGCCACTTGAACCTTAGGTGGAGGTCCTTCTGGGACCACGAAACGTGTGAGGGGTGCGCCAAAATGGGGCGGTGGCGCCATGCGAGCTGCGTAACTTGGACATGAGGTGGGGCTCCCTATGTGGCCACGCAACGTGTGCGGGGTGTTCCAAAATGGGGCGGTGGCGCCATGCGAGCTGCGCCACTTGGACCTTAGGTGGAGCTCCCTTCTGGGGCCACGAAACGCGTGAGGGGTGCCTACGCACCCTTCGCAGACTCGACGAATCAAAAACACATGTTTGGGCACATCAGCTCTGTGGTCGATCCCCTGATCGAGGGTGGGCCCGATGGTCGACCTGGGCCCGGTGAGCGCCCGGTTTGGGGGACGGGGGGCGGGGGGGTGGGAGGGCACGGCAGGGGGAGGGGGAGGGGCGGGAAGGGCGGGGGGCAGGAAGAAGGGCGGCGGGGGAAGGAAGGGGAGAAGCACACGGCGGAGGGGAGAAGTAGGTACAAGCATGAAGCCGACAAGCGGATGCAATAGATTGGGTTCGGGCTCTCCCAGAGAACAGCAGCATACCGTCAACGCGTATTATAAGGACGCGCGATGAGGATGCAAGGGCCTTGTCAGGCCATTTCGAAGCTTTCCGAGCGGCGCGCGGCCAGCGAAAGTGGCCAAGGATGGACCGAAGAGGCAAGGATGCAATGGTACACTTGGGAAGGTTGCCCATCCTTGCTGTGCGATTGACTGCAGGTTCAAACATGGCAGGAAGGCGGATGAAGTAGATTGGGCTCAGGCCCCCCCAGAGAACAACAACATACACCAAAAGCAGATCGGCCCCTGAAATAGGAAGCGATAAATAGCTTGGGGCTTGGGAGTTCGAACAGCAAACCTACGTCCAACGACCGACGGGCAGCGCCTGGCGGCACGACTGACATCCCACCCCATCCAACCTATCACTTCCCATTCTGCACCCTCCCCCCAACACTGCGTTGAATCCTTTCCTTCTCCCCGACGGGGGGCTGTTGAATGTATGGCACTTGCAAGACCAGAATAGCTCGTCGTTTGCTGAGAAATCGGCGCATGGGGGCGGCCGTCCCTTGAAGGGGGTGAGGGAGGAGGAGGAGGAGGAGGAGGAGAAGGAGGAGGAGGAGGAGGAGGAGGAGGGAGAGGAGGAGAAAGACGAAGAAGGAGATGAGTCGGACAACTGGCTAATAGCAAGATGAACAGCAAGAGTACGAGGAGCAGGGGGCGATGGAGGAGGGGTCGGGAGGCCAGCAACGACGAGGACGGAATCGGACATGCGAGCACGGCCCCCGCTTGGGATCTGGAACACACGCTGCTGCGGTGGCAGCACCATGCTTGATGGACCACGTCAGTGCATGCTGAGCAGCATGGAGCCCTGCGTGCTCGAGCCAACACGCGAGAGAGGTGGGACCGCCGCTGGACATTGTCGGAAGAGAGCGGAGAACCGAGGAACTGCACTCGATACCGAGGCGTAGGGGGCGGATGTGGAGGTCAGGGCTGAACCTAAACGGTGGTGTTCGTGTTCGCTGTGTTGTCGTTTCCCCTCGTTTTACCTCAAATCCGCCTTGACCGCAAAACGAAGTCGAAACGAAAACGGCCCACGAAATCGCCAAAAACACCGTTTAGGTCCAGCCCTGGTGGAGGTTAAAGGAGCCAGAGGAGAATGGAGGTCTCCATTATTGGGGTCAGAACAACTGGGGACGGAGGATCTCGCCGCAGCGCCGATGCACCCGCGATGCATCGACGACGTCGGCGGTACATCGACGACGTCGGCGTGGAGAAAATCGGGCCCCACATCGAGCCGCCTCGCCGATGCGTCGGTGATGCGGCGGGATCCTCCGACCCCGTCTACTCGCAGACCCATCTGGGAGGGGGAGGAGAAGAAGGAGCGGAAGGAGGAGGAGGAGGAAGAGGAGGAGGAGCAGGAGGAGGAGGAGGAGGAGCAGGAGGGGGCGAGGGGGAGAGGGAGAAGGAGGAGGAAGGGAGGAGGGAGGGGGGAGAGGAGGAAGGCATCCTCCTCTGGTGAAGCTTCGGCCTGCGCACAGACATCCCAAACAGCCCTGGCGCAGCTCCCCACGGCGCCCATGTGGCGCTCCGCACCCCAGGGCTGGGGTGCTGAGACCGCTTCGGGCTCATCGGGGGAGCCGCCTGCTGAGGCCAGCCGAGACTAGCTGGGGGGGCTGTCTGTGCGCACCCCGAAGCCTCACCGTCCTCCTCCTCCACCGCCTTGTACACTCGATCCTCGTCTGTGAGAGGCTGGTGCTTGGGCACGAGCTCATGGTGCGTGATGTTCACTATCAGCTCGCTCTCGGCGAACACCTTGCAGGGGACGTCAACTGATGGCCTCATGGACCCTGGCCAGGCCCATACTGGCATCAGGAATAAACGAGATATGTCTTTAGAAAACCACCACCAACTAGTGGAAACTAATTATCCCCTCAAGGCCCTTATTGACGGACACGGGCCCACCAATGATGGAAAACCAGTGTTTCTCCACGGCACCCGCCGCGCAACAATGACGAGGAGGAAGAGGAGGAGGAGGAGCAGGATGAGGATGAGGAGGGGTGGAGTCTCTTCTCCGCCCAAAGAAACAAGGTGGAAGGATCCCCGAAGCTGAAGACCTCCCGGGGTTGTGCTCCCTCCTGGCATTGTTCCAATCCCAGGTCTCCTAAACGTGATGCCTTTGGTCACTACGTGGCTCCCCGGATGCCTCGCACTCTCCCCCGAGACCCGCTCTTCGTCCTGAGTCGTGCTGTGCAGGACCCTCAGACCCAGAGCATTGGACACAAGATTTGTTCGGTCGCGATCGGCACCCTCCAAGTCGGTCGCGACCGATACTAGAATTTGAAGCAAAGTGGAATGTGACAGATGTCGTTGGTCGCGACTGGAAAGTTCTAGTATTCAGCGATCAAGGTAGGCCACACATGGGACAACATCATCAACCATGTCTTCTTCACGACGCAAAGAAATTAGTAGTTCTTGAGCACGGCAAGATATGTTTTGCAAGTTCCACACAAACAACTTGATCACGAAATATAGTAACAGAAACAACTGCCCGGGGAAATAACCTGATATCGGAACCAGAAACAGACACAAACAAACCAACCAACCAACAAACCAACTAAACAAGTATCGACGGAACCTGGGGACAACAAAACAAATAAACAACACTTCGGGAACCAGACGCACGAACGGCAAAATGAAACAGGGGGAACAAACCTGCCCTGTCGTTCCAAAGAACCACTGGGCCGATAAGGTCTGGAACAGGAGGGGGAGGAGGACGATGAGGACGAGGAGGAAGACGACAACAAGGAAGACGAGGAGGCCGAGAAGGAAAACGAGAAAGAGGAGGACGAGGACGAGGACGGGGTTGACGTCGGCCCGAGCCTCTATGCGCATCTTAGACATGGCCTCCTTGATGGCCGTCTGTGCCAGCGGCGTGAGCGGCTGTCTCACCACCAGGATCGCCTCCCGGATGCCCTTCTCGTCCATCTTCTCCGCCAGGATCCGGATGGGCTTCACGCCCACGCGCTTGTTCTCCTTTGTCCCCGACATGCAAACAATGGCATAAACTTAATAGTTCGGAGGTACCCTCGCAATTCTCATATCTGCGCTGGGCGCTCGGACGGCGGCTCCAGCGTCGCCCCTGACGAGCTCCGTTTGCCAGGGAGAGGGGTCCAGCGCAGATCCAACCAACACATTCGCGCGGACCTCCGTGTTCTTTTGTTTATGCCAATGCGTTTTCCTCGAAAGAGCATCGGGAACCGCTGGCCAAGTGCACAAACTCGTGTGATGGCATGGCCACTTGTCGATTCCCTTCGCCCCAATCGCCACCTGCCTCCCGCCCATCATCCCTCCTGGCAGCCGCGAGACCGCGAGGGTGACCCAATGTGCTCGCGAAATGTCTCCTGCCGACGCGCCGCTCGGCGCGTGGCTTCTGGACAGCACAGGGCTCGAGCTGAACAGTGGTTCTCGTTCCCGTTGTTTGTCGGTCTTCCCTCCCCTTCTTTTGGAAGCCCGCAATGGGTACGGAAAGAATGGGTACAATGCCCAACAGCAAATGTTGTCCCAAACCAACAGCGGCCGCAGGCGGCCTCCTGTCTCAAATGGACACAGGCCGCGGCGACAACGACAGCGAGTCCTGTTCAAAGTGAGCAGGAACCGCTCACTTCTGGCGTCGTCCTGCCTCTGCCGCACAGCAGCACCAAAACGAGCACGGCCACCTCCTCCTCGTCCTCCTCTGCCTCCTCCTCCTCCTCGTCCTGCCTCTGCCGCACAGCAGCACCAAAGCGAGCACGGCCGCCACGACGCCGCCGCCGACGCCGCTCCGCTGGAGCCCTGCTCTTCGGGGGACGACGAGCCGCAGGAGATACCCTCTGCCGCCGTCGGGGCCGCCTGCCCCAGGGCGGCTGTGGAGGAACAACAGTGAAGGGGCCCCGGGGCACTCAAACAAAGGTTGTTGTTTCCCCCCCCCACCACACTTCCCATGTTCTCCCATACTCCTGAAACACGCGGCATCGACAGAAGGCTGTTGAGGGTCCGCGCGGATTTCTTGGTCCTGCGCTGGACCTCCCTCCCTGGCGCGCCGACCGCGCCAAGGTCGGCGCCGGAGGCGCCGCCAGAAGGGATCCCAGCGCAGATCCCAGAAGTCCGCCCGGAACGCCAATGCATCCTCAACTTCCAGCTCGGATCCTCTGGAAGGAACTCGATGAACAGGCAACCGAAGATCTCTGAAGTCTGGCTGTCCTGACAAGTTTCTAGGGCGCCGCGGCCGTTCCAGAGGGCTCAGGAATGGTCTGAGAGCGTGCGGGAACGCTATGGAGCGAGTTATTTGGAGAGGACACGGTGAGCTGTTGGCCAGACTTCCCCCTCGTAGACACGAGGGGGATCCCCCGAGCCTTCTCGTCGCCCCGAGTCGTTTACTGACGGTCCCAGGGCCAAACAATGACGACGACGATGACGATGACGATGACGACGACGACGACGACGACGACGACGACGACGACGACGACTGCGATTACGACTGCGACCACACCCCCCTCCTTCTCCTCCGTAGGAACGAGACGAGGAGGAGCAGGAGGATGACGAGGAGGAGGAGGAGCAGGAGGAGGAAAAGAGGAGGGGGGAGGAGGACGAGGAGGAGCAGGAACAGGAGGAGGAAGGGCAGAGTTCATTCCCCGCCGGGCGAAACAGGATTGCGGAGGAGCAAAGCCAAAGACCGACCTCCGCTATCGAGGAATGGGCCCGGCAGCGGCGGCGGCGGGGCGGAAGCCAGCTGCACGCAGCAGATTTCGCACTCCTCCCTTTCCCTGTCCTGTTCTCTCGTCTGGCATGACGCATCCTCTTGAAAAGGCATCTGCTCCCAGGACCTCTACAGTCAACCCGGGGAGTACGGACCCACGATGGGGATGCAAGGGTCTTGGAAGGCCATGTCGACACTCTGCGAGCGGGGCGCGGCCAGCGAAAGCGGCAAATGAAGGGCCGAAGGGGAAGGATGCAAGGGCAGCCTCGGAAAATTGCTGCTGTGCGGTTTGACCGTGCCCAGGCGAATTCCAGCCAGAAGTTTGAGGCGGATCCAGACGGCGCGACGAGGGATTAGGTACATGTATCCGCACACTCTCAACTTCTGAGGGTGGTCGATCCCAGACATCCGGCCGCTCCAATTTGCTCTATGAGTGGGCCCCAGAGGTCCAAACCACTTCCCTGGGGCCGGTTTTTCGTCCTGAGTATTTTTGTTGACGCTCCCGAGGCCCGTCGAGGGCCCCCAGAGGCCCAAAACTGCCCAAATCCCGCCGCTCCAGCTTCTTGGGAGCGTCGGATCCCTGAGCGTGCACAAGTTTCCAGAGCGATGCCATCTGGGAAGACCTTGACGAGAAACCGAAATCCAAATCGGCATCCCAAGTCGCATGACCGAATGATCGAAATCGAATCGAAATCCAAGCGGAAACCAGGTCCATCGCATCCAATCAAATCCAATCGAAATCGAACGACCCAAGTCGCATCCAGACCGAAATCCAATCGGAATCGGAATCGCTCGAAATCGAATCGCATCGACCCGCATGGAGTCGAAAGGAACCCAGACGAAGTCCTCCGGAAAGAACACGATGAGCTGCTGCGCCGGGTTCCCCTTCTTGTACACGAGAATGATGAACTTCTCCCGGCCGCAGCCCTCCTCGGAGGCCTGCTTCCAGGCGCTCTCGAACTCCTCCTGTGGGCGGTGGGAGAACCCTCCTCCTCCTCCTCCTCCTCCTCCTCCTCCTCCTCTCCTCCCTCTTCCTCCTCCTCCTCCCTCTTCCTCCTCCTCCTCCTCCTCCTCCTCCTCGGTCCTCCTCCTCCCCCTCCTCCTCCTCCTCCTCTTCCTCCTCCTCTCATCCTCGATCTTTCTCCTCCTTCTCATCGGTCCCTCCTCGTTCCCTTCTCGACCCTCCTCCCCCTTCTCCTCGTCGTCCTCCTCCTCCTCCTCCTTCCTGCTCCTCCTCCTCCTCTCGAGCATCCTCCTCTCGATCCTCCTCTCGATCCTGCTCCTCGATCCTCCTCCTCCTCCTCGATCCTCCTCCTCGATACTCCTCCTCCTCCTCCTCCTCCTCCCTCCTCCTCTCCTCCTCCTCCTCCTCCTCCTCTCCTCCTCCTCTCCTCCTCCTCCTCCTCCTCCTCCTCCTCCTCCTCCTCCTCCTCCTCCTCATACGCCGTGTACGGTTGCTTCCGCTGTCAACCGACAGCGTGTGCGTAGCCCCTCTTCTGTGCCACGTCGCTGGCGAGCCGCTCGCGCCGCGGGCTTGCGCGCCTCCTCCTTCTCCGCACAAGCCGTGAGGAAGGGAAGTGGTCCTGAAGGAAACTGGTGCTGATGCTTCCCGCCTTTTCGGGTGCTCGCGGCACTTCCTAGGCCCCTGGGGCCCGACAACGCCAGGATCGAGGGGGGTGTCGATGACAAGGAGCTTCATCAACAGAAGCAGGGAGACGAGGAGAGAAAGGGGAGCGCGGACAACAAGGATAAGGATGACGAAGCGGGAACTTTTCAAGTGGGGCGTATGGGAGCGCTCGCCCCTCCCTGCCACCCCCATGGACCAATGGCAGCTGACCAATGGTTGTGCTTTGCTGCTGCCATGAGTCAACCGCCACTGGTCCACGGAGGAGGAGGAGGAGGAGGAGGAGGAAGAGGAGGAGGAGGACGACGACGACGACGAGGATGACGACGACGACGACAACGACGACGACGACGACGACGACGACGACGACGACGACGACGACGACGACGGAGGAGGAGGAGGAGGAGGAGGAGAGGATGACGACGACGACGACGACGACGAGGAGGAGGAGGAGGAGGAGGAGGATGACGACGGAGGAGGAGGACGACGACGACGACGAGGAGGGGCAGAGACAAGCGGGTCCACGACCGACTCCCACGGAGAAGCGGGCCCCGCTGCCCGATCCTTGGACTCCTCCAGGAGCTTCTGCGGGACCTGGTACTCGCGGTCCCTCAACATCTGGAAGACCGTCTTCCGCACCCGCCACAGCCTCGCCGGCCGGCCGCCGCCAGGAGGGCGCTGCGCCCCTCCCCCACGACCCTGGGCGACGATGGGCCCCCGGAGGGGGCACGGTCGAAGCAGGGCCGCAGCAAGAGCGCATGTTTGGATTCGCGGCCATAACTATAGGCAAGCGCGTTCCACTGCTCGCAAGAGTACCTGCTCGCAAACGGCCTGGATTCGCGGCGAGGGATTTACGATCCACTAGATCGAGGCATGCATGGGTTTTGCGGACGTTTGCGAGCAGGTGCTTTGCGTGCGAGTAGTGGAACGCGCTCGGTGAATAACGGGCGCTGCAATATGGCGGGGAGGGGGGGGGGAACAGGAGGGGGCATAACGTAGCAGCCCCTCCCTCCCACGCTGTGGTACCGGACACGATGCGGCAGTGCCCCGAACGCACTGAGGGGAGGGGGGGGGGCGTTACGTCATGGGGGGGGAGGGGGGGGAGGGGGCATAACACGCGGTATGGCTCAGAGGGGTAAAAAAACACTCTCCGACGCCGGTCAAGAACTTTGGTCCCGTCGCCGAATGTCGAACGGCCCATGGGCCAGGTGGGAGTAATTACCGAGAGTGGTGACGAACGAACAACACGCAACCATACCCATAGGGGGGACGGAGGAGGCTTTGGGTGCGTGTTGTCGGATGGGGGCCCCCGCTCGCGCGGGAGCCTCCCTTAGGGTCCGACAACCCGCACCCACAACCACAGCCAGTTCTCCTCCCTCCGACTCTCCTATGGGTATGGGTGTGTGTAGAGGCATAAAGAACAGCATGAACATACACTTCTGGCGCTCCGCGCGGATATCTTGGATCTGCGCCGGACCCCCCTCCCTGGCGCGCGGAACGCGCCAGGGGCGGCGCCGGAGGCGCCGCCAGGGGGGCTCAAGGCGCCGATCCAAGAAATCCGCGCGGAGCGCCATAAGTTTATGTTTGTGCCGTTTTTGCTTCTTCGATGAGCGTTGTTCGTTCGTCAAGTGGAGAGCACTCCAAGGTGGAGAGCGCACGAACGAAGAGAGTACGAAATGCGGGCATGACCTGTATCAATATCCAGTGTTTCTTGGACTGTCCTGGAAGGGGCGCCACAAGGCCGAGGCGCGGTGGATATGGATAAACATCGAGCCCCTAGGGGGCAGCCGTTCTACCCATATCCAGTGCGCCTCGAGCTTCTGGTGAAGGGAGCCCGAATCTCCAAGCTGCAAAGAGGATCTGGACAAGAGTTTTCCCCGCACGAGAGGGCTCCCATCCGAAGCTGCGGCTGTCCCTGCCCGTGCCGCGAGGCCCCGAGGGCCACGGCTCCCCCCCCCGCGTGATGCTCGGAAGCCACTCTCCTGGCAGCCTGTGATAACCAGCCTCGAACGTATCCCTATCCCTAAGATGGGCGAGCAAAAAGCGAGGACAATCTTAGGGATAGGCCCTCAGAAACTGAGGGAATCCTTGAGATCGGCATCGAGGTGAGGTGATGTCAAACACAGGGACAGGGCTATGTTTCAAACTGGTAATGTGAGGCCCGCGAGCGGACGACTCCGGTGAAGGGGCCACGTGCGTCGGATCTCGGCGGAGCGCACCAGGGGGGTACAGGGGGAGGGAGGAAGGCTTCTTAGAAGGAGGCGCCGCAGTGGTTTCACAGCGGACACTTTGCCCGGCTTCGGGCCCTGGGTCCCGAAGAGATCGATCCGGCTCGAAGAATGACGCAGAATGACGCAGAATGATGGGGTCCGGGGCTCTGGTCGCGAATTTTGGGGATGCTGCAATGTGCTCGCAACGTCGGGTGTGAGGGATTGGCAGCGCGCACAGGGGGGGAAAGGGGGGGGGGGAAGTCTTCTCAGAAGCAAGGGTGCTTCTAAGAAACCCTCCCCCCTCCCCCTGAATTACCCCCTCCGCGCGTGGCCGAGGATCAGGCCGGACGAGGCACGGGATTCGGCCGAATTGAGCAACATGCAGCGGGATTGAGCGGGACTGTGCAGGCCAAATCTCAACCGCGGAGAGAAGGGCGGCGATGCTGAACCTAACATCCAAGCATAAACTTTCGGAGATCCGCGCAAACCTCTGGGATCGGCGCTGGACCCCTCCCGATGGCGCGCGGAGCGCGCCCGGAGGCGCCGCCCAGGGGACCCAACGCCGATCCAAGAAATCCCGCGCGGAGCGCCAGAAGGTTATTCCCCAATCAGTGCTTTCACTGAAGGGGTCCTGGCGGAGATTGAAAGATATGGCGAACACTTCCCGACGATTCTGGTAGCAAGCTGGGTTCCTGGTTCCAGCTTCCCGGGTTCCCGGGTTCCCGGTTATTGGTTCCGGACCGATTTCGGTGGGGTCTGGGTTCCCTGGCTCCCGGGGTTCCAGGTCGATTTTTTCAGCGAAAGTTATCCACTGACTGGGGTTGTTTTCTGGTGTAATTTTTATCTGACGGCGCGCGGAAAAGGGGGCAGGGGGATCAGGGGGGAAGGCTTCTCAGAAGGAGGGGGGCCACTTCTGAGAAGGCGTGGGCCTTCCGTACAGATGCAAGGCCGGCGCCTTCTGAGAAGCCGCCTCCTTTTAAGAAGCCTTCCAACCTCCCCCTGCCCCCCTGTGCGCGCCGCCAATCTCGGCGAGACGTAAGACTTGGGTATAGGGGACTCGGGTTGGCCTGACGGGGCCATCATCAGAAATGGCAAGACCCAACCTGAAATTTGACGCGAACTCCCGCTGCAAACATCCCACGAAAACAAGACCGTCAAAATCCAGGACGCGCTCGTCGAAAAACGTCGGCAAGCCCGAGTTCGGGCTTACTCGAGTCTTACGGCTTCTCCACCAATCCCTCACATCCGAAAATGCGAAACAATTGCAACATCGCAAGAAACCGCGACCGGAGCCCCAGACCCCAACCTTCTGACTACCTACCAGACCACCCCAACCCAACTCGAAGACTCGAATTTCGGGTTGGGGGGGTACGGGCTTCATCCGACCCCCCCCACTGGAAATGGAGGGAAAATTTTGGCCTTCGGGTTGGGTTGGGTTGGGGTGGTTTGGTAATTAGGTGATGACCTTCTGCGTCACCATTCGAGCCGGATCGATCTGCGGGGGGCCCGGGGCCCGAAACCGGGCGAGAGAAAGCCGGTTTTGAAGCAGTTGCAACGCCAAGGCGTGAAGGATGTACAGTATTCGGCCTGACCGAAGGAACGATAAATTCGCCAGCCCAACGGGCCAGAGGCGAGCTAAGATCTCCGGTAACTGGTTAACATTTTTTTTTAGTTCGCGCGCGCGGAGCAGGCCCTGGGGGCCCCCGGACGAAAAGACCCCGGCCAGAACCGGTCAGGCCCCCCTAGAGCACTCCAGGCGGAGCCGCAATCGACTACCCCCCCTCTCGCCCCAAGAAGCCCCCAAGAGCCCCTCAAGAGGCCCTGGGGGCCCCAAGACGCCGCCAAGGAGCCCCAAGAGACTCCCAAGAGGTCCCCCAAAGGCCCCAAAGAGGCCCTAAAGAGGGCTCCAGGGCTGGCGGATGAGCGAAGCGATTACCAGGGGGCTCGCCGCAAAAAAGGTAGCAGAACGCATACAAACCAAAAAAACGACCAAGCCCCTTTTTAAAAGCAAGTGTTCCATATTCGAGCCGGACCCTGTATGCAGCTGTTTCTTCTTCGACTCATGACTGGCCCGGCCTCGTGACCTCATCGCCTGCAACGGAGGAAGACATCTCGGCGCGGGCACTCGAGCAGGGACCGACCGTCCCAGCAGACCTACAAGCCTCGTGTTCTTGGAATGAGAACGCTCGAAGAGCAAAACCAGAAAACACAAAGCCGATGTGCTATACCAAGACGGCCTCAACCAGAAGGGTTCTGACAACAGTCCGTGCAAACCACAAACGGTTCTTAGAACAGTTTTGTTCCAAGGTCCACCCTCCCCACGGTTGAATCGTCCGAGCGTGAGCTCAGACCACACATTGCGGCACGCAGAATACCTCCGTGACTGAGTGCGGAGACGAGCTTCAAACTGCTGCTGCGGAGTACCTGGAAGTCTGTAGCGAACCAGAGCGTGCATACTGAGGAAAGCGTCAGAGCATACAACGCAAAAAGACACGAATCACGGCCCATCCCTTGGAATAAGGAGGCAGAGGCGAAGCCAGGGCGGAAACCCTCAGGAATGCCAGAAGATCTCGGAGCCCGAGACGGTTCTTAGAACACTCCCACGGTGGGCTCGTAGAAGCGCGAGGACGCTCCGGCACTGCTCGAGGCAGGCGGGACCGCCCCCCCGGCAGCCCACCGGCGGGCCGGAGGGGGGGCAAGCCGCCCGCGAGGGCGCCGGGCCGCGCGCCGCGGCCCCGCGCGGTGCGCCCGCGCCGCGGCTGGAGGACGGCGCGCGTCGGCGGCGGCGCGCGGGAGGTGAGAGAGCGACGGCAGAGGCCTCCTGCAGTGGAGGGAGGCCGGTCCACAAGAAGCCTCCCCCGCGAGACACCCAACCCTGAGACCTGCAGGGCGTCCATGGATTCTTGGCGTCTCCTGGGGGCGTGATGGCGGTCTCGGGGGCCCACTGGGGGCGGAGAGCAAGAGATGTCGGTTGGAATCCTCCATCCTGTCTCTCTCGGGCCCCCCCGGGAGGCCCGTTCGGGCCAACTCGGTCGTCTCTTGGGACATCTTGGGATCGTTTTGGGCAGTCTGTGGACCCTCGTGAGGGCCTCGTAAGCCGTCTGGGGGGCGGTGCAGGGGGCCTCTGGGGCCGTCGTCGTCGCTGTGCACACCCAAGCAGCGGATATGCAACAAAAGGGCAGGTTTTAATACATTGAATTGTTGTTAAGATATCGGATGTTAACACATGATTAATTACGAATAAATCAATGCATAAATTCATCTGTTTTTGAATACGAAAGCCTTATATATACATATATATATATATATATATATGATCCGCACGCGGAGCATATATTAAAACCGGCGTTGCTACGTCTTCCAAAAGGGACGATTGTTGCCTCTCGGCGCTCTGTGGAGGGTCGGCTGGGGAAGGTCTTGGAGTCAGAATCGTGGCCAAACTGACTCGGATCTTAAGCTCGAACTGCCTGAACGCATAGCTCGGGCTAGTTCCAGTCGAGACGCGCGGGGCGCTCGACCAGCTCGAGCTCAAGATCCGATTCTGTTCTGAAGCCATCGCCCGAGACTTTCAGTTCCGCAACGGAACGAACCGAGAGCGACCACGACAGGCGTCCGCGCTCTCAAGGCACGATCCCTCGTGAATTACGCTGCGTCCGCGCTCCCACGGCCACGATCCCGCGTGAATTGCGCTGCTTCCGCGCTCCCGGGGACATGACCCCTCGCAAACTACGCTGCGTCCGCGCTCCCAGGGTCTCGAAACACCGCGCGGAGGTTGCCCCAAAGGGCACCCCCTCGCTCGCCGCCGGGACACTCGCTGTGGCTTGGACGTCCCTTCCCCGCGCATCCGGTCGCATTCATTCGCAAGGCGATCTCAGGTGCTCTTCGATGGCCCTCGCCGAGGAAAGAAAGCAAACATCCGAGCGATGGCAAGCCCCTCGCTCGCCGCCGAGAGAAGAGAGGAGAGGGGAGCAGCAGGCAAGAGAGGGCGAGCTGCGGCAGGCAGGACGGGGGGCGGCCGCGGGCTGGCCCGGGCCCTGCGCGAGCTGGAGAGGCGCCTCTCCTCTCTGAATGCGGAGCTGATAAATCAAAAAGTACAAAATGAATGCTACTCTGATCAGTGCATGGCTCGCCGTGTCACACCACTCGAATGTACGACGGCTGGTCGCCCTCACCGCCGGCCCTAGAGCAACACGCGGCACGCTACTCCGACTTCTTAATGACCGTCGGGGGGGCGTCACCCCCACCGACAGCCCCACATCGACCCCCGTCGCGGGCAGCCACCGCGCGCCGAAGGCGCTCCGACCCCCGTCACGGCGCGACGACGAGGCGAGGATGACCCCCGTCGGGGGGTACCCCGCAACGCGCATTAAGAAACCCAGAGTAAGCTTGGAAAGTTGAGCCCCTCCCCCCCCCCCCTTCAAATATTGGCGTCACTATTTTTCGCCACGGGCGCTTTCGCCCCGTTTCCGGCCCTACAAGGCCCTCACACATCGATATGGCTCGCAAAGGGGCACGGGAAATCTCGGGTCGGGGCTTCGGCCGCGCTTGTAATTTGTTGTTTCGCAACGTCGGAAATAAGGGCCTCCATTCCTCCTCCCCCCCTCCGTCCCGCACGTCTTCTCCCCACTTTCCTTGTCAACCCCATCCCTGGTTATCCGCGCCTTCGTTTCCTACTACATCCTCCTCCTCCTCCTCCGCTTCCTCCACCAAATCCTTCCCCTTCCTCTTTCTCCTTTTCCTCCTCCTCCTGATCTTCCTCCTTCTCCTCTTGCCGTTGTTTCCCCCCGCGCCCCCCTGTTCAGAGAGCAGGCCGTTGCGGAGGCTCGCCTGAGCGCCAGCGTAGAAGCGCGTGGGGTCCGTGCGGCCTCGGTTAAGGACCGCCTCGGCGTGATGGCGCACCCTGCGATCTACTGGCCCACAACCAACATGCCTTGTCATCATCCTCATCGCCAGTTTGATCCTCATCGTCCGCCTCGCCCTGCTCGCCCACCATTCCCTCCTCCTCCGCAGCCTCTTCCTCCCTCATTCCTGTTATTATTCCTCCTCCTCGTCGTCATCGCCCTCCTCGGGTCCATCATAATCAGCATCATCGTCACCGCTGTCATCGTGCTCGTCATCGTGATCACCGTCAACGACGTCACCGTCACCATCGCCGCCATCGTCACCGGCATCATCGTGGCCATCGTTTCATCGACCGCGTCGCCAAAACCATTGCACGGCGCATCGCCAACGACGCCGCACGAACCAACATCGTCATCCGGGCCATCGTCGGCGTCATTCGCATCTCCGTCATCATCATTGTCACCATAATTGCCATCATCACCAGCATCAGCATCGCCACGTGGTCAGCGACTGAATAATCGTGAGCACCATCGTCATCACCAGCAGCATCAGCACCATCACTGGCATCCTCGTAACCAGTAGCACCATCATGGGCACCATCCTCGGCATCCGCACCAGCATCTGCACTATCAGCATGACCATCTTAAGCATCACCTCCACCTCAACCTGCACCATCACCACCATTCTCCCGCTCCGCGCAAGCGAGGGGTCGTCGGGCGGAGGCCGCGGCCAGCGCGCGCGGGCGGGACCCAAAGGGGCCAGACCCCGGCGCGCGCGCTCGGGCCGAGCGGCGCCGTTCACAGGAAGAGGCTCCTGTGGCTGCCCACGGGCAGCATCAGCACCAGCATCAGCATTAGCATTAGCAGCATCATCTTCCCACCTCCCTTCCCCCCACTCCGGGGGAGCTGTGGTCCTTACCCCCGCTGGGGGGACCCATCGCATCGATAATCTCTCGGAACAGATGCCGAATTCGAGGGGCCCCCCAGAGGGGGTAAGGACCACAGCTCCCCCAGCTGTGGTTGGCCTGCCACTGCGCCTGCCTCGAGACCTCGCCGCGCTCGTGGCCCCGAGGCCCTCTTGCGCGTGGCGCGCCTGGCCCGAGAGGCGCAGGGGCCCAGCCCGGGGCGCCTGCCGACACGGCGGGCCGGCCCTCTTATCCTGTTCCTCCTCCTCCTCCTCCTCCTGCAGACTTCGGCAGACTTCAGCAATACACCTCCGAGGAGAAACCCAAACCTGCAACATGTTGCCTCGAGCATTTTCGGCCTTGGCGTTTTGCCTCGAGTTCGACCCTCTGCGGCCCATTAACGGGCCCGGGGGACCTCTACAAAAAGGTCGGGGAGTTATGATTACAATTATTTTGGTTATTCGTACTGGTAATGCTACAAATATGAGTACCACCATTAATAGCATCATTATCAGAAGTATGTATGTATGTATGTATGTATGTATGTATGTATGTATGTATGTATGTATGTATGTATGTATCTATATGTGTGTATGTATGTATGTATGTATGTATGTTTGTATGTATGTATGTATGTATGCATGTATGCATGTATGTATGTATGTATTTATGTGTATGTATGTATGTATGTATGTATGTATGTATGTGTGAATGTGTGTATGTATGTATGTATGTATTTATGTATGTATGTATGAATGTATGTATGTATGTATGTATGTATGTGTACATATATATGTGTGCATGAGTGTGTGTACGTATGTATGTATGTATGTATGTATGTTTGTATGTATGTATGTTTATATGTATATATATATATATATATATGTATGGATGGATGGATGTGTGCTTGAATGTATGTATGTATGTATGTATGTATGTGTGTATGTATGTATGTATATATGCATGTATATATGTGTGTATGTATGTATGTATGTATGTATGTATGCATGTGTGTATGCATGCATGTATGTATGTATGTATGTACACACATATACATATATATATATATATATATATATAAAGATAGGGAGCTCGCGAAAGACAAACGCGCCGAACCATGCACATGAATACGACCCCCCAGTCCGCGAGGCCAGCCTCGTCACGAGCGTGCGCGCACACCCTCGCAGTTCGCGATCGTTGCACGTGCAAGGTTTCCCTGCTGGCAGCCAGGCCTCCCCACGGCCAGTGTTACTGAAGGGGCCCAAAAGGAACACACATAAATACACACAACTAAAATGGTCCCCTACAGTTTCCCATATTTTCTGTTTTTTTTGTCTTCCCGCCCAATTCCCATATTTTCCCATATTTTCTTGGGGATCGTCGATGAATTGTGTCTGTGTGTTTTGTCCCTCCTGAATTATGTTGCCCCCCTCGAACTGAGGGACCACATCCCAGAAATAATCTCGAGCACCCAGAAAAGTGTCGAAGGAGTGTCGAAAGAGTGTCGTACTAGTCTCCCAGGGCCCGACACGTGAAAAAACCCTCGAGTTTCGGTGCTTCCTTAGTGCTCGAAATTCTTTCTGGTGGTCAAGGCCAAAAAAGGGGGGAACATCATGAGGCCTATCCTGGACCGCCGGCCATCCTAGGTTCTAGGGAGCCCAAGCCCCTCGCACCAGACGGGGTCACGCAGATGATCAGAAGGAGGGAATGAAGGGGGGCCGCGGGAGAGTGACGGGGGAAAGGGCGAACGGCCCGAGCGGAACTTCTGAAACAAGCAAAAGACACGGCTAACCCTGGCCAAATCCACCGACCCCTTGTGGGTCTCTAGGCGTGTGAGATTTGTTCCCCCCCAGACCCCCCCCCAGGGACCCCAAACCGGAGATTTGACGCCCCCCCCTGGCCCCAGACAAACGCGTCATGGGAGCATCGAGGGCCCCAAAACGGGCCAAGAGGGCCCCAAGTGGGCCCCAAGACGATCCAAGATGGCTCCGAATCGTCGAATGATCGTTCCAAGACGCC